CTGACAAGAAGAAAGCTATGAGAATGTACATAGTAAGATCGCTAGTTTGAGAATAACTGAAACCTTCTTGGTGTTTCATACATAAATGTCTAAAATTGGTTTCATGTAGGAACAAACATGGCACGACAGCATCTGCATTCTCACTGCAACTTTGAAAACTCTCATTATCCTGCTTTTTCTAAACGGGCAACCGTATTTTTTTAATGAATAGAAGTGGCATCCAAGACAAGTTTTCTAGACAGTGCCATATCTACAACTTTGGCTCCATAATGCGGTAGCTGAACGGTATCAATTTAGCAGTGAAGGACACCGTTCTCTAACCTAACTCTATCTCATCATTAGGCCCCGGGCAGACTTCACGCGATTTGATCGTCGCGACTAAATCGCCAACATTTCCATTCATTTTCATTTCACATTCAAAAATTTCGGGCTGGAAAAGTAGCACAACCGAAATGCAAGTTGATCGGCATGGAATGATGTTGTAACAGTTGTCTCGTCGCGAATTCGTCGCGACGATCAATCGCGTGAAGTCTGCCCGGGGCCTTAGAAGATTTCCTCCTAGATACTGCAAATCACCGCCATCATTGCGAGTAGTAGATAGTATCGTTTCCACAGTTGCTGCTACCCTTAGTTTGCGTTTCTGACTTACGGTATGGTAACCTGGCATGTTGGCAACATGAAACAACATGTTTGCAACATTCAACGACATTTGGCAAGAGTTTTTGACTACTAGCGTTTAAAAAAACAGCAAAACCAGCGTTCAATGTAAACGCCATGATCTTGCCTTGCAAAAAGAATGGGCACGATATTTAAGCTGGAGTCGTGAAGGCGGCAAACACGCAGAAGAAGCGCAACCCATGACAATGACAGAAACCAAGACGAACTTACAAAATGCAAACAAAGATTTATTTTGTTCTTATTCAATTCTAAACTTCCACGTCAATCTCTCAACATGATAATCCTCGTCTCGTGACCATTTTGACAGTCCTGAATTTGAATCAGGTAAACGGGAAATGCTATGAAGGATGAAATTCTGTGACCGTGGGAGAAAGAAGAAGACAATTAGGGGTGAAGCGATAACCGTTGAGCTTGCCTCGCTCCGCTGACGAAGTGAGCCAAGACAAATAGCTGTGCGCCTCGAATACGTCACCTAAAAAAGGGAGCCTTTTTGGATGGAGCGGACTTTTCAAGTATCTCTAAGCCACTTCAAAAGCATTCAACACTGATTCCAAAGCTGCTTTCTTTTGCTGTGGAATAGCTCTCCGAAACTCAGGCCATTTACGGGAATTCACCGAGGGCTCTGGGAGGCAGGTGACTTCAGAAAATTCCTGTACAGCTCTCGGGAAGTTCGACAAATAAACTCTCGGGAAGGAATTATCTGAGAAGTTATGAGCTTTTGAAAGCCCAAATTTGTAACGCTCTAAGTGGCTAAAATTAGAGAAAGCCTATAAAAACATCTATGCGAAGTTCCACTGGCTACGTTACTTTCTTGTATTCCATATACATGATACAAATACAACTAGCCACGTCCAAGTGTTTTCTACAAATTTTTGATAATTTTATGCCACTTAAAGCATAACAATTTGGAGTTTTGAATGCTCTTAACTTCTTCCACAGTTTTATCACAGAAAGAAAAGCAGACTTGGAATCAGTATTCAATGCTCTTCAAAGTGATATAAGACTCATTTGGAAGAACCACCTCGACTAGAAAGGATTTCCTTGTAAGGAGACTAGTGTCACAATCACGTGAAACAACAAGTTTGCTTTATACAAAATGGCTATATCTATATATCCTTGTCCTTGCCAGAAAAGGTCCTTTGACTCTTCTTTCCAAATGCAATTTCTGACTTCAGTTACCAAACTGCTAGATACAAAATTTACGATGCAGCAACGGCTTTGATTTTTCAAAACTTCTCCTTCCCAAACCTTGGCATGTTGATAGTATATCGTTAGCTTTTTCTATGCCACAACAGGTTTTTATCGGAACTCTTTATTGACCTTGCGTTTCGGCGGAAAACGCCATCAGAGGCCCGAAAGCGATTGAATCACTTCCATCAAAGCTTTATGCGATCAAATGCCTTAAAGGCAGTGTCCAGGCTAAACCTAACCCCCTCCGATTAGTGTCGGTCCTGAATGTAGGCCCCAGAAAAGGGGCATCTGCGTGGTCCGGTCTTCTAACGTCGTCTCTGAGTGGAGATAAGGGGCCTGAAAGTCCCTGGCTGGGCGGAGTCTGATATCAGATATGATATCAGACTCCGCCCAGCCGATATGCCTCCCGACACGTATTGACAAGGTAGTGAGCAGAAGCTGCACACTGCACACTGCAATGCAACCGCACCCATGCAGTTGCAGCTCCTTCCCGCTGGCCTGCCGACGGGGACGAGCAATTCGAAACTCGTCCGCGCCCTCAAGACTGGGCCCCCAGAATCGGGTTTTTTGTGAATTTTAGAGATGAAGTTCGGAAGTGTAATCAGGGCCACGGAAAGGCCCCAGAATGACGAAAACATGGGGGGTTAAATTCTGGGTGGACGCTGCCTTTAAGCAACTCGTACGTTTGATGGCAAAATGGCTATAGCTACATAAACATGTCCAACTCAACTGGATTATTTTTGTCACCATATCCTGTAGGCGACCGAAAGAGTTTTTGTCGTGTTCTTCTGTGGAACTCTTGGTAAATTAATTCGGCGTGGACGCTAGGCTCCGATCACTTTAGACGAATCAAATGTTCGAGTTGGTTAAGGCGTTTGATCGCATGAAGCGTTTGATGGAAGTTATTGGATCGCTTTCAAGCCTCTGAAGACCGCGTTTTTCGAAACGTAAGTCTCAATAATAAAAAGTTTTTATGAAAACCTGTTGTAGCATGGAAAATGCCAAAGTTTTTGATATTCAAGTAAGACTGTCGCTCAATCTCGGCATCGTGGAAATTGCTTTGAGAACTGCTTGAGCTTCACAAGATTAGTAATTGCTTTATTCGACTGACGTTTCGGCAAAATCGCCTTCTTCAGAGTCTGAAATCGTCGAATGCATGAGTAATCTATCCCATCAAAAACCGCATCAAGACTCAGAAAAGACGTCCATTGCGTCAGTAAACCGAGAGCTAAGAAAGTAAATACAGAATTAGACCACTGCTCATCTGAAACAGCTGATGACTGCTTGGCAGCGGACCGTATACCAGTTACTGAGCTCTAACTTCTATATATACCCAGTGGCTTGGCCTCAATTGACCTCAGAACCCGCAATGGCTCTGATAAGCGACCATCTCATTGGTGATGGCTATGCACTCATCTTTCCTATTCAAATTTGAAATTTTGGCGGCAATCCAAAACGCCTCTAACGTTTTGCGCGCCAGGATTTCGGACTCGCGTGCTAGGACCGTGACCTCTACACCTATGTCCGCGTCATTATGGAATTGCCTGCGGTGCATGACCAGTGGGGTTGCCGGGTTCGATTTTTCAAGACCGTCTAGATGTTCCTTGATGCGCGTACATAGAGGGCGCCCCGTCTCGCCGATATACGTGCCTCTACACGCCTGACAAGTGATCAGATACACTACTCCCGACACCATGCAGTCGCCCTCTTTGCCGAATAGACATATTACACACCCGGGGTCATGCACAACCTATCGTAAGCACGATTACGAATGAGCTGACATTTAAGATTTGGGGTTGGCATGTCTATTACTTTATCCAATCTTGTAGGTCCACTTGATGTATCAATCTTCGTACTGCCTTGCTGAGTTCCTCCGAGTTTTTGATATTGTTTACTGGTAAATGATTTAATGCTCTTTGTCTTCTTAGCAAGCAAATAATTGCGCTCATGTACCATGTGAACATGTGTACGTATCAATCTATATACAAAAGTTACAGAGTGGTGAAGATTGGAAAAATTTCCAAAGAAAAAATGTGCTAGATTTGTCGCTTGATATAATAAACTAAGCCGGCGTGATCAGCGTGTGAGTTGGCCGCAAGCGCTTTGGATGACATAAGCTCAGACAATCCACCGAAACTTCCGCAAGACAAGCGGTTCGGTTTTAGCGGTTCCGCAGGATTTTGTTTACTATAACAGAATTGAAAACATTAAAAAAGGAACTTCCGCAGGATTTTCACGTCAAACTCGGAAACTCAGAGCTTTTCACAAAATGCTGCGGAAATGCCGAAAAATGCCAACGGTTCCGCAACACTCTGACCTGCCAGTACTTCTGCAGGATTTTAAATGTGTTGTCTATAACAAAGTTAAGCAACGTTCGCATCTCGCTTAGGTGTTCTCTTTTCATGTCATGGTTAGCATTTTTCGAAATTTCCGCAGGTGACCCGGCGGAGCTTTTTCAAATGTTATACGGAAGTTCCGGTTAGTTGTCTGAGCGGCTTGTTATGCAATTAATTACGAAAATATCAGAGTATTAGAGCAAAATGGCTTGTGGAAGGCGCGATGTAGAGGAAGTGGGCAAAAGTGGTGTAGACGAGCTTAGCGAAATAACGCAGACCAAGGGGCCATTTGGCTCCGGTTGGAAATTTCCGCGGTTTCTCGGCGAAAACTGAAACAAACATCGTTCTGTTCATCAAATGAAGACTAGACTTGATGATAGATGAATCACTGAGTGGATTCTGATTAAACTGTGGCATAGCAACGCAAAAATCTGTTGTTTTCCATTTTACCCTAGGTAGTGTTGTGCTTACATCTGGCACAGTTGAATCAAAGCATAGAAGCCCTGGAAAAGAGCCTCAAAAGAAGCACAAACGAGCATGGGGGATGGGGGAGGCAGATATGGGAAGCACTTTAGAACCCAAACCTCAGTTTATCAGGAAAATTTCAACGCAGTACAAATGCTATAGTCTGTCATTCAGTACTTAGTAACCAGCAATCTGATGTGATTGAAAATAAACCAAGCATGGTGCATTATCGGTAGATTAGCTTTCATTTTGTCAAAAGCACCTCACTTTATAATTTATTATGCTATAATACACGTTTTATTGACCCTTCACCAACCGCAACGTTGGTATTTATAGTTCTTCATGTACTGCTCCACCGCCTGCTCCACCTGACATGAATGGGCAACCGCCAGTGCTTGGTATCGCTGGTGTGTCCACATGTGTCTGGAAAGCAATCCTTTTTGCTCTTTACCTAAACCGTGATTCTTGGCAAAAGTAAGTAAAACTTACAACAATCTCTTGGAAAAGCGATTCATCTGGTAAAGTCAGCGTGTTTTGATATCCAAATACCGCATCCACTTTAGCTTTCTGCAAAAATCGCAGCGGATGCGGATCTCGAACGGACAATAGTTCTGCAAATGATTTGATCATGCCAAAAGGCGATGGCAAAGCTCTTCGAAGGAGAAATATAACTTACTAGTAGGTGTATCATCGTCATTTTGCATCCATTCCCAGATTGCATCGGCTGAGGTACTTTCTTCAAGAAGAAGCTGGTAGACACTTTGCTGTAAACATTAATTTATGATCTGGTTGTTGAGTTTGCTGAAATAAACAATAGTTTATGATCTGGGGAGTCGTGTCAGTTGACTTTCTTACCAAGAATTTTGGGTTTGATTTGGTTTCAAACTTCAAAAATCGTTACTCATATGGAAAGTGTTCCATAGAAATCTTGCTTTGCTGACAAAAGTGAAGATATTATTTTTTTGATCCATACACAAGTGGGAATTAGACGGAATATTTCTATCTGCCGCTTAGAAGACTGGGGATAAAAAGAATGTCTTACTTTATTGCTCGAACTAGTACAGTTTCTAGTTCGAAGATAATCTGTACATATTTGGTGTAATAAAAGTATGTATGTAAGTCAACGTTTGATTATTAATATCTCTCTTCCCAAATCTTCTTGTTTGCCTACCACAGTTCCATTCTGTAGAGCGGTTTCAACTTGAATTTACAACTCTTCATTACTGTAGGATTAGGTAGGAGTACCTTGAAGAAGGTTTTGAGCCATAGAAAGCTTATTGCCTTAGAAAGAAAACAAAAGGACGTGAAGAATCTCGCATTGGGTTAATTAGAGTTGCTAATTCTAGCTATGAAGTTTGCATCTTATCATTTAGCTTCGTTAAAATGTTATGCAAGGTAAGCAGTACTAGCCGTTTTTTCGATGTTTTCTGAAAAAAGTGGTTGCATCGTTCAAAAACTTCGCGATCTTCTACAAAGTTGACTATTAAACTCAGCGTTCATAAAAACCCTATCACAGAAGTTTTTAGCTTTTTTTTTGAAAACTATTCAAATCGGCAGCTTTTTCACAGTGAAGCCGTGTGCAGGAGGTTCCCACCGTAGGCCCAGAGTAATGAAGAGACCGGTGATTTGCTCTACACTATAAATGTAAGTTGGAACCAGCTTTACAGAACGGTACCAAATGATAGGCAAACGAATCTTTGGGAAGAGAAATAACAACGTTAGACAGTGGCCAACTACTTTTACACCCTGTAAGAGGCTGATCGCTAAGTTTTGAACGGAAATTAATCTTCACCAGCTGACTAAAACATTCAGTAGTTAAGAAACATCAACAACTGAGACTTTTCAAATTTTTTTACAATCTTTCGAATAGCTGTAAATTGCGTTGTGATTGTGAACATTGCAAAGAGTTTTAAAGTTATCAATGATTAAAGGTTCACTTTCAACGAACATGCACTTGATCTTTTCGAGATAATCAGAGCAAGAGAGAGGGAGAGAGGGAGTTGCTGTATATTTTAGGGTTACCAAGAGTCATATTCGAAACATGAACTTTTGAAAATAGTTTGAATCTCATCATATTGTTAAATGACGAAAGTGGAATTTAAGAATACATGTTGAAAATTTGGAAACACCTACCTTATCGAGCAAGAGCACTTGCGGTTTCTGTTGTTCGGGCAAATCGAATTGTTTCATTATCTCGGAAGTGATTTCTTTGTCACTAAAATAAAATGTTAAAAACTATGTCCATGCGCCTTGATACAAAGTCATTTTCCGGAAGCTTCAGCGTTCATAGTACTAGAATGATATGCTGCTGTTACGAGTCGAATTACCTATTTAGTAAAGTGAAAACTGCAAATTTCCTAGCATCCCTCCTCGATGCTAAGCTGACATAAGAGCTATTGTCGAACATAGATGAGGCTACCAAAATTACGACTTTACGAGGTTGTCGGAAAAGAAGATTCGTCGTGAAACCATCTGTGATGTCGATCTGAAAGCAGTGGCTTTGATAGCGATAAAAAGAATTGAAAGAAAAGAAAAGGTTATGTCCACTCACCACATTTGGAAATGAAGCTGTTGTTATGAATGCCATGATTGAGGTGGGATCAAATTTGCCTTCATAGTCGCGCCGTCGTTGCTTTTCGAATGGCCGATATGTCGATATTTTTGAATTGCTTCTGCATTAATGGTAATTTACTTTAGTTTTAGCTTGTCAAGAAATATTCTAAAAAATTTCTTTCTCTCTTTTTTTTTGTTACCTAGTTGTTTCTCAAAATTGTACAGAACATTGTAAATACTACCTATTACTTTACATTGAAAAAGGTCATACTTCATGATATAGGTCATATTTCAGTGTAAAGTCATAGAGTTACTACTCTGATTTGATCTGAAAGTTTCGTGGTTCGTCCAATGTTTATATAGTAAAGGGAATACAGTATTCATAAAAACCTGCATGTGTCATTGTACCTGTAGGCACAAGAAAGTCATTGTATCTACCATTCAAAAGGGAATACACTTATTCCTAACAATAAGGCAAGTCTATGAAAGACTTATATGACGACTAACCTCTCAAGCTTACAAAGTTATGTTGACCGAAAACGCTTTAAAAATTTCGTTATAAGCAAGTAAATCAAGTCTTATCAAGAGAATATGACTCGAAATTGTTGTGGTGCATTGATAAATTTATGGGATTTGCGAATCTCCAAATATATAAAACCAATTATCATTCTCTTGATATTCTTGCTGCTCAAATCCATCATTTCTATACGACTGACATCTCTGATGTAGTCAAGTCCAAAGATTATATGCCCTTCCCGGGTTGGTCCAAGGATTCTCTTATTCTATGTAGCTGTGGCAGTCCCATTTTCGCTGAAGAGGAGGTGGGGGGGGGGAGACAAAAAAACCTTTTGAATGGAAATGCGCGGCATTAACCAAGCACTTCGGAAATTTTATGGTATGCTTCTCAAGATTTCATCGGCTCATAACAGTCACCGACAAATTTTTTTTGGGCTGATTCTCCTTGAATATTTAAATTACTTCAATCATTCCATGTGGGCAATTTTCAAAAATTTTGCGACCCATCAAATGGGGCCCCCTCCCTCAGTCCGTCACTGATAAGCAGTGCTAAGCAAATTTTCAGACTCTATCCCATTTTTAAACCTTCGCTAGAATTGGCTTAAAAATCGAAATGCTTCATTGAGTTGGAATAACAACTTTCCAAACTTCCCCGATCCTCTGAGAATTACAGGGCTGAAATGTACAAAAAGTATACAAATCTGAAAACGAAGTAGCAGTAACATTGCGCTCCAACGGCTTAAAAGGGCCTACACAAAGTGAACGAGCATATTTGTTCGCACAACTTGGACGGCTGTCCGCCCCTTGCTCCGCCTTGCTTGAAACTAGCCAATCACAAATGAGGGTTTAACCAATCAGGGGGAGGGAGGGGCGCCGCTATAACTGGCGGAAAAAGGCAGTTCTTCTTCACACATCGTTCCAATGAAAAACATGATTCGCACACAACTTCTCATTCCAACAATCAGGTACCTTCCTTTCCTCCCTCCTTCCCACACACACACAAAGGACAATGCCCGAGAAAATCGGACATCAAATCGTTCATCACCTTACGATGGGTGCCCGCTCATCGATTTGGCGGACGCCGCTCATAGCGCGACCGGTGGCTGGTCGCCGCTTTTTAGCAGTCCGCTCACGCCACGGCCGGCGCCCGCTCGCCTTTGTCTCGCGCTTTGCGGGGGGCTCGCTATCGATTTTCCACTATCTTTTCTGAAAGAGGGCGAAGGGGTCCCGCATTTTCTCGATTCTATAGCGCAAGCTCTTTCTTATCACATCTCTATCTCATTCCTAGCGATACTAGCGAAGTACGTTGAAATGAAAGATTATTTTGAAATTTTAAGCCAAAACTTCATCCTCGTCCATCTCTAAGACATTTATGCCAGATTTTCTAAAGTATTCTGGTAATTACGTTATTTTCTCTGATTTTTGATGTAATTTTACTTCTTCGTCATTACTGCAGCAACCGCCCCCCCCTTGCTTGTCATTCTTCCCCAATTACTTTTTTATCCTTTTCCCAGTTCTCAACCATATCAGCGACCACTAAGTCCTCGAGCGGACTTCATCTTTCTTTTTTGCTAGTCTCCGATCGATTTCTGTGCACGTTTGTACTCTGGCGAACGCTATTATCTACTAAAAGGGCCGCTCGGACAATCGCAGGGGTCAGTCGCAGTGCAAGGTCATGGAAGAATTTTGCTGCAATTTTATGAATAGTTAAAGCTTTTCGAAGGAATTTTTTTTTCAGGGTATTTTTTTTTCAATTTTACTAAAAACGACAAAGCAATATTTGCCGGCGACTTTTGCTGTAATGGCTTAGTGTCTTTTGCCTCGTGCAATTGTCGCGACGAGCGCAATCAACCTTCAGAATAACTTTATAGGATGTGCTGTCTTTTAAATGTCGCAGACGGTCAGGAATTTGAACATGGGCTTCATATTACATTTGTGGGCTAAGGGCTAAAAAAACAAGTTTGGTTTAGCATGCAAATTTTCATGAAAGTTGTCTTTTGTTTTCTATCCATAATTCTACTTGGAAAAGTAGTTCAAAGCTTCCTCTGTCACATATCAAATTTTTAGGATTTTCCATCAGTAAAGACACTTATGCCTCAACATGGCTAAGTTTCCAAAAGCTCAGTTCTTCGACTTCCTAAGCTTCATTTTTATGCTGTAAAAGGATGTAGACAACAACCGTTCTGTATTTGGATACAAAGGAGTTTCCCTACTTAGTGAATAACAATGAAAATTGTGATCTGCCATTTTGAAAATCTTTCAGCAAAAAAAAAAAACAAATTTCCTCATTTTTGCCCATTATGATAAAAAAAATGGGGCTTCTCACTTCTTTGTGGATTTTTCTCTTTGGAAGATAAGTTTACTCAAACAGAATTCATACTCCAGTTCCTACTGAATAGCTCTTTCCAGAGATTTCAAACACTGGACAAAAATTTGTCTGCAGCATTTGTAAACGCAAAAGCGACCGAACTTACATGTCTATTAGCCACCTAATAGAATAGCACATATTTACAGTACATTGTTGAAAGAAATCGAAATTCATTCAGTGGATAGAGTTCCAGTGACGCTGTGGACACTTGGACAAATATGGACCTCACAATAAATATTGGCACACGTATGATTAACAATGACGAATAAAAAAATTGGGTAGAAACTGATTTTACTCTAGCCTCACAGTTACTGAAAAAAGACGTACAGGTTTTTTCTTCATTCAAGAAAACGAAGAACGCGAAGGCAGATTTAATGTGGGGTTGTGACAAAAGATTACGAATTTCTGATGGAAGAACTTTTTCTGAAAAAAAAGGCAGAGCTCATTAATAATCTGCGAAACGTGGGGAAGTGATGCGGATAAGATTATGTTTACCCGTTTTCATAATGAGATAGCAGTCCAGAAAACTTGTATCTTTCCCCATAAATATGCCACTTGTATTGTTTTTAATGACTAATATGCTGAATACTTATTATCCTATTACCGCAAGTCATTTTTTTCGTTTTAAAATCCAGTTCAAAGTATTTTGTCTTTCAGCAATTTATTTGGCGCTGAACAAAATGATTTCGGTGAAGTCAGAGCTAAAAGTGCCATTAACAGAGGAAGAAACGAGCAATAGCTCGTATCACGCCCTACAATTACTAGAGTCAGTTTCAAGCTTTAGTTTTCCTTTGACAAACAGCGACGGTTTTTCCAGTGAACAAGGATCAGAAAATCAAAAGGACATGCTTAGAAATGGGCGCGTTGTTCCCTTGGTGGAAGATGAAGATTTACCCTGCGGTAGCGCTTGTGGTAAATTCATTTTCCCGGAGTCCGTAAGATCCAATATTCCCAATCTCTTGTGATTGAAGATGATGTTTGCAAACAAGGAACGGCGATGGATCGCATGGAAGGAAAAAGTAGCGGTACTCGATCTCTTTATGACTGTATTCATAATGGAAGGCTCGATCTGAATGAGGCGGCGCGTTTTATCCTGAAGGGAAAACGGAATGGGACATTCAGCCAGGCTATGTATGACGTAAGTGAACTTCTTATTTTTTTCGACGTTTAGTGAAAAAAAAACATATTTAGGAGTTCGTATCCGAAGCCGCTACGAAGGTCCATCACTATGCAAACAATGGAATGCTGGACCTTCATGATCCTTTTTTAGAGATGAGATTGAATTCTATTGGGACCTTCATGATGGTTCGTAACTTATATCTAGAAAAATGCAGATGCAAAAAGAGAGAGTTGCAAAGCGAAATATAACGTTTTTTATGGACAACGTATGAGGGCGTGACGAGTTATATTTATTGCAGAAAGGGGCGTGGCTAGCGCAGCATGTTTTTCCAGTCGTTTTGATTAAGAAAAAACCACAACGTGGACTTGGACTACATAAATCACTCTTTTCTTAACCTGGAAGGAAAAGAGAGGAAGAGGAGGAGGAGGGGGATCATCTGCTTACGTCACGCCTTTTTATGCAATTGTCAATATGTCTCGCCACATGCCCCTTCATGCTAAAATATATTTCTGATATAGTTCCTTTTCAACATTTTTTTCAAGTTTTTACATTGATTATTTTACATTTTTTCACGTCTCTTCTCCATACTTCACAGCTTATTATTCCAAATATTTATTGTTTATCATTTTCAGAGTCAGATTCAATGCGCAAAGCTGGATCGACTGATCCGTGTTTTTGAAGCACGGGAAAAGAGCAACACCATGAAATCACCTACTCCTACAATGTCACTCAAGAATTTGTCGAAGATCTGGAGACTTGAAGGACCACCACCATTCATTACGGTAGGGTTACGGTATCAAAGAATCAAAAAAGTATCCAATAGTGATTTGTATTCATTTATAGGCTGAGCTGCCAAAAATGCTGGCAAACTACAAGTTCAAAGAAAGTGACAATGCATTTCAAAACTTTGCATCACTCTTTCGATATATTCTACAGAGGGTCAGCTAAGCTTTTCTTCCTACATTTTTTAAAAATGATGTGGCAGCTTTTAGATAACCTCTCCACCTGTTCGAATACAAGAGTACGCGGTTAGATTGAATGGTAGACATGGTAAAAGAGAATGTCTGATGAGCCTACCAGTGGAAATTGAGAATTTGCTGCTAGGTGGGTCTGTCTTTTTTTGGGAGTTTACATTCACTATCCTATATTCACTATTCATCCACTATACTTGCTACAGATTTTGCTGAAGACCTTAGTGGTCTTGGACATAACGAATTGAAAGGAGGTGTCGTGGTGAATCCAGCGCATTCAAGGTAATTTTTGGACATATCATTTTAGGGGCTGATTTTTCGTTATTTTCAGTTTTTTCATGAGTCTTGGAGAAACTTACGAAGAGAGGAGGTGCAAATTAGAGCAACTAACACAACAAAGAATTGAGCTCAGAAGTGAAATATTCAAGGGATTGCAATTGGCTTTGTGAGTCACTTCATATGTTCCAATTTTATTCTCAAGAAGTCCTTGTCAATAAAACTGTAAAAAAATGTTTTTCTTTTCAGAAGAGATGTGAGATCATATAGTTACGACGAAGATAGGAAGCAATGGATCTCCAATAAAGTTGTTTTCTTTGAGCGAACCTTTATTTCGTAATTTTTTCATATTCTTTTTCAGAAAACCAAAAGGGCCCGTGTTGAAAATGACGAAGAATGGTCACAAGAAGTCCTGTGAATAGCTGACGAGTATTGTAAACTGTTCAAAATGGATTACTGACAACGTGTTTCCCATATCACTCAATAAATTTGAAGTAACTAATGTTTATGTTTGAATTTTTACGCAAGAATGAGAGCCATGAGCATGTGAAGGCCATTTGCGAACAGTTTGTTCCGATAAAATATCGTGGGGGAGGTAATTATTTTGGTACAAGCAGTGTCAGGCGTGTTGAAAAATTTTCTCAATAATTTTGTGTTGAGCCTTTATCTGGATTTTCAAATATTTTGCAAAAATAAACAATGATCCTATTGCTGTATAATTATCATTCATTCTTTGACTAATAAACACGAGCACGCTTTGCGCACGTTTGATTAAAAAGTTTGAGACTGCGTTCTAACGGGTTTTGGTAGATTAATATCAGAAATTCGTGAAATATCATGTTTGAACTTGCATTTTTTGAAGAGCTCGAACATGTTCTTTCACGAATTCTAATGGTAATTACTTGTTAACCCATTGGCGACGATGTGGACCACCGGTGGCCCACACACTTTTTGCCGCCAGGGACGATGTGGACCACCGGTGGGCCATACCTCTTGCAGAGTCATATTAGAGTATAGTCATACTGGATTAGTCATATTAGAGCAAAGCGTATTATGTCTCTTAGTCAGAAAATAAATAATGCTCACCCCGGTTTGATACGAATGGCCATAAAATATCGCCCGTGAAGTCTATCAGCAGCGATGGAATAGTGCTGGAATTCCGAGCAGTCTCGATCCGGAAATGTCCCGATGGTTACCGGATGTGGGATATCGCCAAAGATTCTGCCTTAATTAAGATATTTCAAGTGGTTTCAGGAAATGGAATGACGTTGAGTCACTTGAAATCTCAAATTTTTGAATGATAAAAGAAAGAAGCAATGCTCGGAATTTGTAGCAATGCTTATGCGCTGAAAGACGTTCATAAATCCCAAGCAGCAATACCTGAATGTCGCAAGTAAACACTACCTTTCTTAGCGTTTTTGATTTGTAGATCATCATGCAGCTCAATTAGAGGACCGGAAAACATTCTGCAAAAGGAACTCATAAAATAGACTGAATTCCTTATCCAAAAGCATTTGAGCCAAACAATCTTACAGATACATCCACTGCAGGTAAAATTCTTCGTCTCTGAGGTAGTAAGTCGAGCCAATATTTTGGCCATCTCTGCAACGAAAAGATACTTTTCATTCTTTTCAAGAACTTCTTTTTGCAATCAGTTGTTACTCGAGTAAAGTGTAAGCCTAGCTAGTGTGATGCTCACTGAAATTATCTCAACGACATGTGAGCTCACCTATAAGCAACAATGGTATGGAAGTCCTTGCGAGTCAATCCGTGGCAGAAGTCGGCATGGTTATGGCATTCGACGTGAGCGAACACCACACCTGAAAAACACAAGGAATTTTGAGAACTTAAATCAACGTAATGAAGCGCTTTACGAGTTCATAGCCCGCTTGCCGTCAACTTTCCAAGCATAAAGTTACGGTAGCATACTGCTCTGTGCATAAATGCGTATGATACACATAACATTTGATTCAACTGGCTTGGCTTCTGGAAGGCGGGACTTTGTGACCTAATTGAGGCCTTTCGCGCACGTGACACGCCTGCGTCTCTCTCGCGCGAGTGCTCTCTGACCATTACCTAGCCGTAATTAGGTCACGAAGCCCCGCCTTCCAGAAGCCAAACCGGTTGAATCAAATGTTACTTACCTATTTCAGTCAATTGTACGTGCGATCATAGAATATCAAAGCGCTTAAGACTTAAGTTTTGTGGAAAATGTTGTTAGAAAAGCTTCTTTCGTACTCAGAAATAGCCAGGCCAAAGATATGCTTACTTATAGAGTAGTAGTCTAGCAATAGTACTATGTATTAGGTCATCTAGGTCATAAGTAAATCGTTTTACTGACTAACTCAATTTGTTTTTGTTTTGTAGCAGAACTGGGATACTTACCAAAATGACATTTGATGCAAAGCAAGCTCTTCAAATGACCAGCATTACCTGTAGTATAATCCAAGTAGAGCTTGGGGCCAAAACCGAAAAATAATTTGTCACTTGTAACTCATATTTCTGCGAAAAAGAACCCTACGAGGCTCCAAATTGGTCATCATACAGAAGATACATAGTATTGTCCGTTAGCGTACTTGCTGAATTTTTTATTTATAGAATTCAAGAGAAGAAGGAAGTTCAAGAATGGCAAACTTCGCCTCCAGCTGCTTCCAAATGTTATTGTCTCCGCAAGCCTCAATGATTATAATATGATCTTGAAATTTTATCTCTTATGGGCTCTTACGATTAAGAAATACCAACTTTAACATAAAAACCCGAAAAATGGCATTTTTGCACTTCGAGACTATTTCTGTTTCTTAGTTTTGGCGGAAAAAATTCAGCAAATGTATTTATAAAATACACTATATATTTGATGTATGACGACCAAGTTGAAGGTCCGTCGAAACTTTCTGGAAGGAGATCGCGTTTTTAGGGGATAAAAAAATTGGCAATGGAAAACTTTTAGTCTTTGGCTTTAGACTTCACACTACGACTTACTTGGATCTTTGACAGCCTTTTTAAAAAGCTTGGGTTGCTCTATCGAATGTGGTCCCAAGCCTGCTAAGACAACAAAAACAGTAATTTATGGACCCTTGATTTTGGACAACCCAATTTATTTCGCACTTATGCGACTAATTGGCAGGACCCTGTGATTGGAAAATGGTTTTCCAAAGTTTGGCAATCCAGGTATTTCTAACTTAAACGGTATTCCGAAGCAGCTACTGCATGTTTCCTTTTCAAATCTATAGTTTGAAAATTTCTAGAACTCTTACCTGAACCAAAGTTGGCTTTCTGTGATGTCCTCGCCCATAAGTTGAAAGCATGTAGACTTACACTGTGTACTGTAATGAACAGAATATGAACTATTCGCAGCGCACTTGATTTTGATAAGATTTGAGATGAAATAAAATGATAAGACAGAATCATAAACAGCTAAGAATATGCTTGAAATCTGTAATAAGCCTAATTGAGTGAGAGTAGATGAATGATGTCTGTGCTCACCATGACTCCAGAAAAGTATAAAAATATGCTTGTTTGCCGCAAGTGCTTTGGTGAACTCTTCCTGGCTCTTATAAGCTACAAGTTTATGCTCCACTTTGTCTAGTTCTCCTCCACTTCTAAAAATATCACAGTTATTGATCATGGTTCAGTCCAAAAAGATTTCTTACCTAAACTCAAGCAGATCCGGTTCTACCAGATCGAGTTCGGTATGACTAAAGAACTCCATTTCCACTTTTGGCGGCTTGTTTATTGTCCGCAGTTCCTTTGGTGACAACTCCCTCACAAAGCCTACTTCTTTATCGGCTTCCTTAGACGCGTAAAGAGTGAGCGGATAAGGAGAGTGACGAGATAATGCACTAAATTAAGCTTCACACTAACAGCGATAAAAATCGGAAACGGTCAAAGTACTTACTCCAGTAATGCCATTTCCGTTGCACCAGGTTTCTTTTCGTTGAGCTTTCGTTCCAAAGAATATACGGCTGCCCCTTTGGCTCTGCAGATGGTGATGCATGAAAAAACTATTCGAAGACATTTTTCGGGAACAACTTACGAATCTTCAATAACGAGGTAATGATAGCTACCCTCAGGCTGAAAGTCACCGCAACGATAATGTTCCGAATCCTCAACGCAAGAAATCTGAATGAGAGAAACTTGATAAAGAAAACGTGGAATATGATTCAAGAAACGTTTTTACTTCAGCTGCATATTATATTTTGTTTTTATGTGGTCTTGTGAACAGAAAGCAAAGCAGCCAATTCTTAACTTTTATCAAAAACATTCTCCTTCTGAATACAGGTTGTCTCAAAAGTGTGTATACACTGTTTGATCGTTAAGATCTCGCTTCTCAAGAAGACTTTTGCCTACTTAAGAGTGCTAATTTGTAGAGATGGCTACAACTTAGATTTGCAGTATGGAGCAAATCACCTATCTCATTTTATTACTACAATTACGGTAGGAACTTCCAACTTGCAACGTCTTTGTAGATTGATCGTGTTTTCGAACGAGCTTTCAAAAAACCTGGAAAGCGGTGTACCAAGATTTTAAAAAGTGCTGATTTCATTACTTGACTTATTTCGAGTTTGTAAGACTTTTTAAACTGTGTAATCTATCAGGGAACATTGTAAAAGCATTTATGTATTGCGGTTTACCTACTAGCAACTTATGAAGAAATCAGCATTGAGGGAAAGTGCAAACTTCATAATTAGTTTCAGCGGTTCTAATTAGCCTAGTGTAAGAGTTTTAGATTGGGTTTTGCGTTCTGGGGCGAAATAGAGCTCTCAGTGGATCAAAACTGTTCTCATAGTTTCTACCGTATTTCTCTAGTAATGAAGAGCACTCAGTGACTCGCTCCATAGTTTGAATTTGAGTTAAAACCAGTTCTGCAAAATGGCCCATGAAGCTAGGCAAAAGACTTCATCGGAAGAGAGATATCAACGGGCAAACAGTGTAGACATACTTCTGGGAAATCCTGTATGTTACCTATTGCATGATATCTAGTGATAAATAAGACCGAAATGGGCGTTATAGAGAGGAGAAGACAGATTTTCGATTTTACTTTGAAATATGAAAATGCTTGAATAAGACATAGTTTATATTTGTACAAGGTGAGAACAAAATAGCTGGATCTGAATAAATGCAAGAGACTTACCACTTCATTGTCGATTGTTAGCCGAGCTTGTTGCTTCAGACGCTTCCGCAATTCACCGAGCTTATCGAGAACCAGTGTAGCAAAGTCCTTTTGTTGCTCTGCGATTATTTTATCAGGACGTATTTCAAACGCAAACCATTATGGGATACTTATAATCGGCATGGAACTAAATACACAAAAAATTTTACTCACTGTTCTCACTGCGATGTATGAAAGTTGTTTGGATAAAATGATCCTGTGGCACGAAACCAGGTGCGGCAGCATGCTCATCGTAGTCCCAACCCTCAAAAAGAAACCACCCTTGTGGACATATGAACCCTGAAGTTATTGAACTATGACACATCGATTTATGGTGCGGTTTCTGCAAATTTAGTGACCTTTTGCTGCTCAGGCATATTCAAATGAGAACGAAAAACTCGCGCTTCTCAGAAACTCTATGATTAAAACTTCCCCTTTGAAAATGCGTATTGGAGCATCAGACCTATAAGTTTGCCTGCAAGCTCTCCAAAACACAAGCTAATATTGAATCACCTCAATTAATCAAGTTTTTGTGGCCATAAAGGACAATTATGCGAGGACAATTGGAGTAAGCTGACATGCAATTAATTATATTACTGTACCGTCATACTTCTTCGCTTGTCACCTGAATGCACCTACGAATTGGAAGCCTAAAGCACCATTCAAGTTTCTTATACACACGACGCTAGTTGTTACTCATGTTCGTTGTCAGTAATAGCAAATTCTTGCCATTTTTTCAACCACCATATTTTTGGAAGACAAAGGAGAACTTGATCTCTGCTCGAACCTTATTTGACAATAACAGATGTATATGCTCATTGAAATATAAAGTGACAAACCTTATCTCCTTCTGGAAGTGAGCTTGGTGGAGCAGGCCCTTCTTGCTTTCCCATCTTCATACCCATCATATGTGGACAATGACATCTGAAGTATTAATGTAATGGTTCAATATAGAGTTGCTATATAACAGTATTTATAATGATCACTAAAAGTGCTTTTAAGCGAATCAATGCTTCTGAGTACTTTCATTCAGCAACGTTCTTCATTTTGAAATTCTAATTCGCAAAAACCTTCAAATTCTCTAGGCAGTTCAGAAATTTTCTCAAAATGAAAATTACTTTACCGACATTGCTTAATTCTACGTGCATGTTATTTTCATGAAAATCACTAGAAATAGATCACCAACAAAATTTGGAAGCAAATAAATAGGCCATAGGCGGAATCGTACGTTGGGCAAAATGCAGTAAACATTTGCTTTAGATTCAAATTTGACAGAACTAAAAATGACATTTTCACATTTACCATAATTTTGCTAATCCATCAGCATCAACCATCTTTGTCCATGATGTTAGTTTCTTTGATATATTACTTAACATCTCTTTGTCTCATTCTTCCAGTGTACGTTGTTAAAGAAAAAGAAAAGTCGATAGTCGCAAAAGTGCACCTTGGAGATCTAGGTAGCCATCAAAAGCAAATAAATTTTTTTACGGGCAAGAAGGTTGGGTAAGCTCGATAAGAGCGAAGCTGACACTGCTCTCGAGTATTCTTTCTACATATCTGCAAAACTAACTTTTTTTTATGTATCTGCATCAAAACTATGTCATTTTCGCAATTTTTTATATGAAATTTAAATTTACTGACGCCAGCTTATAGAATCAATCACTCTATAAAGAATGCTCAGAACAAAGCTATGATGAGAATTTGTTACGCTTGTTTGGATTTCTGATTATCACATCCAATTCATTCATCATCTTTACTGCCAGTTGGCAGAATGATTGGTGCCGATAAGTCTTACAAGCCGAAATTGTTTAAAAAACATGCAAAATCGATTAGGCCCAATAAAAAAAGACATTCTGTACCTTTATTATAATATTCATAATTTGAAATGTTTTAAAACCTTAGTGAATGTCAAGCATCAACCATCAATCATGTACAAAAGAAATCCCGAGCCGACTGTCTGCAACAATAATGCCAATTTTCGGATTTCATCGAATTGCATACGCTTTTATTTATAACTGTAAGGAAAACGAGTAAAGTAGAGAACGATACTAAAAAAAAGAAGAAATCTGCGGAAGATGTGCCTCTCAAATGCAAAAAAAGAGTAAGAAGCGAAATTGTATGGTACTCACTCTGCTTGCAAGACGAGAACTGCAGCAATCAAACATAACATCATTGTAGAATAGTAAATTTAATAACTATTTATTAAATTGACTGGTAATGCTAGAATACCAGTGGAACTAGCGAATTTCTAATCGAATCGATAGTAGTCAGCCAGACGACTGCATAAAAGACCTTGACCCAAGTGTGCGCAGCGTTCCGGAAAATTCATCAAGTGCCAAAAGTTTGAGACGTGAGGAGAATGAGGACCAGCTTGTGACATTTGTCAAGGCTTCTTTTATTGCAAGTGATGGATTCATGAAAGACTGGAGCTATCCGCTTACTGGTGCTCTCGAATGACGTCAGAAAGCATAAATAAACAATGGATACAAGGGGGTGAGTGCGTTGGGAGAATCCTAATCTCCTTTCTTTTCATCTCCTCCCTCTGTCTTTCAATTATTTCTTCTAATCAATCTCAGAGATTCTGCTCCAGAAATCAGCAATGTAAACGAACTTTTTATTAGTTCAGTACATAAAAGTAACTTCAAAGGCAAATATGAAAAATATCCCAATTGCAGTCTCTGGTTTGTAGGTGATGTAAATACACAGGGTGTCCGTAAAGTTGTCTACACTGTTTGATCGTTAATATCTCTTTTCTCAAGAAGTCTCTTGCTTACCTCTGAGCACCATTTTGTAAAGCTGGCTTCAACTTACAAGGAAAGTGTGCATAGTCGAAGTGGTCTTTCCAGATGGGACCCATACTGCTTTGAAGAGCATTAGGCAGTGATTCCAAATCTGCCTTCCAAATCTGCTCAGCGCCTCTAGACGCCGAGTTATGGGTGTTTTTCAGGCAAAAAAATTGAACGCAAAACTTCAACAAAATCGCCCAAATCTGCTCAAATGGTCCAGTGTCAAGTGTCAGACCCGTTCATGCAATGGATACATTTTGTCTAATATGCTAATACTTAACATTGCTTTATCTGAGCGCTGGAAAGATTGTAAATAACAATCAATTTTACCTAAATTTTCCATTTATTTTTCGCTCTTAAGAACGGACATAACTCGGCGTCCAGAGGCGCTGAGCAGATTTGGAAGGCAGATTTGGAATCAGCGCTTAATGCTCTTCAAAGCAGTATGTGTCTCATCTGGAAAGGCCACTTCAACCAAACACACTTCCCTTGTTAGATTTACAGTATGGAGCGAATCACGGATCGTTCCTCGCTATTGTAAGATTACGGTAGGAACTCCTAGCTTATAGCATAGTGGATTAATCGTGTTTCAAAAAAAGTTTCTAAAAAGTCTGAAAAGTGATGTACTATGCGTTTTCAAGCTTGCTGATTTTATTATTCAACCTTTTACGAGTTTGCAGAGCTTTTAAAATGATGTAATCTCGATTTTATGGAGCCTTGTAAAAACAGCTGTTGCGGCCTACTTGGCATATATGCAGGCAGCATTGCGGAAAAGTGCAAAAATCATATTTGGTTTTAGCGGCTTCATTTGGCCTGGCATGAAAGTTCTCTGGTCGTTTTGCTTGCTTCCTGAAGCGAAATAGCGTCCTTGATGGCTCACAACCCTTCTTGAATTTTCTACCGTAATCCTACAGTAACGAAAAGCGAGCGGTGATTCGGTCCATAATGTAAATCCAAGTTGAAGCCAGCTCTACAAAATGGTGCTTAGAGGTAGGCAAAAGAGTTTTTCAGAAAAGAGATGTCAACCATCAAACAGTGTCAGTGTATACATACTTTACGGACACCCTGTACATGGGATTAATCGAACTTATTCTGACGTTTTTTTAACTATTTGTATTGTGTATCATTTCAATTCCAAAATCGCGCTCAGCCACTTTGGAACAAGCGCTGCTTATTTTGCTGAAAATAAAAATGGAAATGTTTAGCAAGAAAAATGCTAGAGCGCTCATAAAACTTTAATGATTTGTTTCGAGGAGCCTCCATATAGCTCAATTACAAGATTGGTAGTTTTTCGTTTTTTCTGAACATCCGGCATCTTCAAATAGTTGTTAGTCATAAGAATCTGTGCATTTCACCCCTCTTTCTTGTCATAATCTTTGGAATTGCGGAAATTTTTATAGTACGGAGCTTCGTTCCTCTCTCTTTTGGTATAGAAAGTTACTTGGACGCATTTTATGTTCAAAGTTGGAAATTTGCCACTTTCTCAGTATACCCTATTGCTAAACCTTGAGCTGTATATCATACCGGCAAGAATTCCCCTTCATCGCTCGTATTTTCCCTGATTCGCTAATTTTGACAAAATCACACCGATCGCAAGTTTGTATGTGTGATGTATGCTGCACTGGTTTCTCTCTATACTTACTTTTTGAAAGACAAGTGTTAGTTTGTTTGTTTGTACTCTGCTCACATCATAAGAATCGTTTGTAAGACACATTTGCAAGATATCATTAGCAAAAAATTAATTCACATACATAAAAGCAATAAATTTTTTCTAGCAGGTGCACATCTTGATTATGGCTGCTCGCAATCAGCACTTTCCATCTTTCTGGTAACTGTTAGGCTGTCTCTTAATTTTTATTCGATGTCAATATTAAAGTCAAAACATATCTTTGACAGCGAGAGCATCTACAACGGTACAGTGGTCGATAACTTCTCAATATATAGAATACGTAATCACTTGTGTGGGAGGAGCCCAAGGCCACTAGGAGTGAATTTCGCCATTTTACTCCAATTAATTTTGAAAAAAATACGGGAACTGTGTAATGAGATGTTTGATATTAATTTGTCTGTTCAAATTGGGGATTTGTAGGACTTTTGATGGATACATTGATTTGAGCAAAGTTCCGTTTTTTGAATCAGATTTGACTATAAACTTTATGTGAAATATATCTGTCGAACCCTTGGTGGCAGTCTTTTGCTCTATGGTAACTTGTGCTACTCATGGTAACTCATGGTATGGTAATTCAAATTGCACTCAATAATGGAAGGAAGGATACAATTTTTGTAAAATCGGAGTTATGGGACACCCTGATATGTCTGAGGATATGCATTTGAGAGACCGACTTAAAAGACGCTCCAACTTCGGAATGAGTGGCTAACGCCACGCACCTTTATCCGAAGCAAATTCCCCCCTCCCTCCCAACCGAAATCCTAGGTATTCCACGCTGTGCACTACTATGAGTCTTTGTCTTTCATTAGATTCTTAATTCCTCAAACCTTCTTAATTCCTTGAGTCTCATCCTAAGCTGTGATCTTAGCCTACGGACTGAAATTCCCAATAAACTTTGAGATTTTCTCAAATTGCCAGCCTCTTTTTTGATAATAATGCCTGCTGATGTCCTAATCAAACCATAATTGCTTCAAACTCTCCCACGCCATACTTGTACATGCAATATGTCTACCAAGGAAGGCCCTTCGTTGAAAAGCCTTATGGATGGCGGGGAGCCACACATAAATCTGTTTGCAGAGCTAAATGATTGCAGCTCGAGCTCAAATCACTTCTATAAGTCATTGCTTGGCGGTCAAAGAACAACGTAACAAGAGCGGGCGACCATGCAGCCACTGAGATACCGTAGCATTATCACCTTCTTTTTTTTTTGCAAATTCATGGAAATCGTAAAGGTCAGTGAATGTTTTTGAATTCTCTCCGCGCCCAATTTTTGGAGTTAGAGCGAAAATTTTGAAAATATCTATCCACAGTTGTGAGTATGTTTTATCGCTCATTGTTCGCCCGAACTTCACTATAAATGGTTGTGTTTCTTGCTTTTCTACACGACTTGACAAACAAAATTGCACAAATATTTACCGACAGGCAAGATCTTAGTTCCTCTGTCAACAGAGTAGCATTTTCATTAGAGAGCGGCTCTTTTGTATTGCAGGTATTGTTCTCATCTATTTTCTATAGAGAAAAGCGCTCCTGGTGCTTCTTTATTGCAGAAATATGGAAATGAAGTGCTTGTAGATCCATCACCACTTTTCTGCCTCAAACTTTTGAGAAAAAGCACATTCATATTTTTGCATGAGTAAGTTCTGTGTTACAGTGCCCAATACTAAGAAAGCGTTTTGGCGCTTTTATGCGCTTTCGAAGGCCGTTAAAATCCGCCTTTTCGGCGGATTTTGACCTTCCTGAATTCTTCTGCCCAAAATTCACTAGGTAGATGCACAAATACAGGGTGTCCCAAAAGTATGTATCGAACGTTTGATCGTTAATAACTCTCTTCCCAAGAAGTCTTTTGCCTTGCTTTAGGTACCGTTTTGTAGAGCTGGCTTCAACTTAGATTTGCACTATAGAACGAATCATTCATCTCTCTTCATTACTGTAGGATTACGGTAGAAACTTGAAACATATGGTGTTAATGTGAAAAAAGCTGCCGTTTCAAAATTTTTCAAAAAATCGTGAAAACTTGTGTAATAGGGTTTTTATGGACGCTGAGTTCAATAATTAACTATTCACAAGATTACGAAGCTTTCTAAACGGTGCAATCCCACTTTTTAGGAACATTGAAAAAATGGCCGCTACTTCTTACCTGGCATAACTCTTCAATGAAGCATCATAATAAGTTGGGAACTTTACAGTTATAATCAGCAACTCTACTTAGCCTAGTGTAAAAGTTTTAAGGCTGTTTTGTTTCCTTTCTGGGGCAAAATATGGCCTTTCATTGCTTAAAACCCTCCTTGAAGTTTCTACCGTAATCCTACAGTAATGAAGAGAAATGAGTGATTCGTTCTATACTGCAAATCTAAGTTGAAGCCAGCTCTACAAAACGGTACCTGAAGCAAGGCAAAAGACTTCTTGGGAAGAGAGTTATTAACGATCAAACGTTCGATACATACTTTTGGGACACCCTGTATAAATGCATATCGACAATGACATCAAGGCTTTCGGGGGCCGGTCAGAGCCACTTTTGAGATATCGTCTGCCCTCCCCCTTTACCTCAGCGAGATTTCCATGCGACATCGCTTGCGCACTCATCTTCCGCTGAACTTACAAGGGAATGGTCAGAAGTTGAAGTGGCCCAAACGAGCTGCTTACCTTTCGATGCAGCATAGAATCGCTGATTATTTCTTCCATATCCGCAGAACGCCTTCGTGGACGTTATAGGCAGCTCTAACTGCAAAAAAATTGAATTGCAAAATTAGGCACATTACTGCTTTTTAAGCTCACCTCCAAGTACGGGCCACATGAAGTACTTATTTAGCTGCATGTCTTGGTCCAGCACTGAGC